GTGTGGGGCCTGGCCTGCTCCTCAGGGAGGGGGCTGCAGGGTTCCAGGAGGGAGAGGTGATGTGGGTGTGCAGGGCACAGAAGAGCCAGGTGGATGCGGGGGGCCTCGGCCCAGCCCTTAAAGGGGTGTAGCCCAACAGTGCTGTGGGTCTCATGAGAGGGGCCGCAGGGACCCCCTGGATGGCTTCAGGGGGATCTGGCAGGAAGCTGGACTTTGTCCCAAGACTGGGTGTGGGCTCTGGGGGGTTAGGCAGGAGGGGACAGAGAGCAGTTTCTGCGGAACAGAGTGGGGGTTGGGGTGTCCTCAGGTCATTCTCTGCCTCCATGTCCTGGTGTCCCCTGCCCCTCCTGACTGACCTGGGACCTGTGTATTGGCTCCTCCTGGCCCACCTTGGACCCTCAGGACTGTGCTGTGGAATGCTGCGTGGCCTGCAGAGGGGTCAGTGCAGCCCAGGCCAGCTGTCAGGCGAGAACTGTGGGGTGAACGTGGGGAGGCACAAGAAAGACGTAAACGAAGAAGAGTGGCCAGGCCGGGGGTTGGGGTGCCTAACATGTCTGTTCTTCTCTGACAGTCGTGCAGGAGCAGAGCTCACGGCAGCCGGCGGCCGGTGTCCCCTCGCCCAGAGACAGCCGTCCTCTTGCAGGGTCTGCCGTGCTGGAGGGAAGGCTGCTGCTGGAGGTGAGTGCCACCCTTGGTACCTCAAACGCTTGACACTTGGTACTCCGTGTCACGCATGTTCAGACCCTCACCCAGGAGGCCCTTCGGTTGTGATCTTCGTAACTATCAGGACAAGTAGACTCCAGAATATGTTGAAGAAGGGTGTCCCTGGGTCAGAGTCAGCCTCGGGTGTGAGCCTCGTGGGCTGGGACAGGGAAGGCAGCCTGAGAGCTCTCGGCCCTGTGTGCTGCATCAGAAAATCATCCTCATTCTGCACCGTCTGCTTTTGCTTGTCAAAGAGAGAACCTTGTACAAAATTAAGCCTTTTTCCCCCCTAAAATGAAGCATATGGTAAAGTCTGCATTGGGCTTCCCTGGTGTGGTTTCAATCTCGGGGTGGCCTATGTGACACCCTGGAAGCTCTGGGCCTGGGCAGGAAGCTCTGTGATGAGGGGGCTTTTCACCCCATCTCCCCCATCCCCCCGACTCTGAAGTGCTGGGTTTTCCTGTGCTGTAACGCGGGGACTGTTACTCCTCTGGGAGGGGAGACTGTGGACCATTTTCCTAAACAACGTAAGATGGTGGTGTGGAGCCTGCGGGGTGAATCCATTCGCCATTTTGAAGAAAAAGGGGGTTGCTGCCTCCACCAGTGGCTGGAGAGACATGGGGCTGGGTGGTCCCAGGATGGGGCTGGGTGGGCTTGCAGGGAGGAGATGGGGACAACATGGCACTTCCTGGGTAACAAGGTGGGCTCCAGCCAGAACTCAGGACCCCTGGGTGGGGCAGGAGGGCACCAGCCAACCTGCTCCAGATGAGGGTACTGGGTCCCGGATGGCAGGCTGCCCCACAGCCAGCAGCCTCTGGTCTCCCGCGGAGCTGTGCACCCCTGGTGCGTGGGAGAGGCTGCTCGACCCCCGCCGCAGGTCCTCCTGTGTGTCTCCAGGTCAGTTCACAACCCCCAGCTCGCTCTGCCCCACCCTGCTAGTGAATGGGTCCTAGCTCCTGGGGCCTGGGAAGCCTGGAGCCTAGGGGAGGGAGGCCTGGGCCTGGTTCCCTGCTACTGGACTTCCCGTCCTGCTCCCAGCAGCGTGGGATATTTTGGAGCTACCCTCAGGGCAGACTCTCCAAGAAGGCTTTGGAAGAGGCACGGAGGGTCGGGGTCAGGGTCCGCCCGCCCGTCTGCTCCTGGCACTGTGGCCCTCCTGCTGCCCGGTCTGACTCCCCTGCCTGGCCAGAGCGCTGGTCACACTCACTGTGTTTCGGGGGAGGTTGAGTAGTTCCTGAAGTCTCAGTCCACCGCATCTGGTTCATGTCCTCTGGCCCACAGAAGTTTCTGGAAGTTTTCTTAGATTGCATCTGGTAGGTTATATGGTGAGGGTTCCTCACTGCATTGCTAGGGCAGTGAAAGGGATTATATGCTCTTTTTGAAGCTTAAAAGTGTTCAAACAGGGCAAAATAAGCAAAGCAAGCAACAGCAACAGCAAATCCCAGCTTTTAATTCTAATTTTCAATCTCTTCACAATAAACTGAAAAAAGGGAAGTTTATGGCAGGGCACCCTGAATCCATTAACAGCCTTGAGCTGGCACAGGCTTCAGAGTGGCTGTGGCCATGGTCTGTTGATTTAAGATGAGGAAGTTAAGGATTGGAGCCACCAGGTGCCCTTTGGGGCTGAGCCGGACCCAGCATTTCTGTTTGTTTGTTTGTTTATTTATTTGAGATGCTCCACACGTTCAGAGAAACTTTAGTAATGATTTGGAAATGACTCCTGAGAGTGTAGTCTGGACCCGGCGTTTCTTTGTCTTGAGTTCACTGGCTTGTCCTCCAAGCCCCTGCCTTCTCCAGGGAAGCCAAGACAGATGGGCCACAGCCTGTGGCTTCCCCTGGTGCACATCTTGGTGCAGGTGCTAACAGTGGGAGGATGGAGGAATGGGGAGAGGTGGGAGACCGGAGAGGGAAACAAGGGGGAGGGATCCAAAGAGATGTGAGCACCCAGAGCAGGCCCCGAAATGCCTGTACGATACGAGTCAGAGGTTTTCATTCTATTTTTTAGGTGGGCTACAGGGCTATTGGGTTTAGCGGGACTCACTAGTGCCACGGATGTGGTCTCTGTCAGGCTTGGATGCCGTCACTGACTGCTTAACTTCAGCTAGAATTCAAGTGTATGGTTACTGCAGGGGACATTTTGTAACACTTATTTAAAAATTTACCTGCACTAAAGTTCATTCTTTTCAGCATTCAGTGATGTGACTGACACTGTCATGAAGATTCGGAGCCATCCCATCCCTAAACATTTCTCCTCTGCTGCTGTTTTCAGTCACAGCCCCCTGCCCCTGGCCATGGCTGATGTGTGCTCTGCCCCTGCAGCTCTCCCATGCCTTTCTGTGGCTGTCCTGCACACGGAGTCCCACACACGGCCTTTGGAGGTCAGCTTCACTCAGCACAGTGCTCTTGAGATTTGCCCACGGTGCTGCGGGTCACCAGCTGGTTTCTTGTTATTGCTACGGGTTAGGGTTAGGGCGCATCCACGGTGCCGTGGGCCACTGGTTTGCTTCTTGTTATTGATGAGGTATGGACCGACTCCACGTGTCATTCAACTTTTGAGGGATACTTGGGTTGTTTTTAGGGTTTGGTGTTTATGAATAGAGCTGCAGTAGGCATTCACATACAGGTGTTTCTGTGAGCGCAGGTCTTCGTCTCATGAATAGTAAGCGTGTTTTTAACGCGTATCCCCCAGCAGTGAATGAGTGTTTCAAGTTGTTCAGCATCTTTGGGTTTGCACTTGGTATTACTTTTTCCAAAGCCATTTTAATACTGGAATCTTGTTAGGGCTTCAGTTTGGATTTCCCGGTGACTAACAATGCTGTGTATCTTTTCACGTGCTTATTTGCATCCATGTGTCATCTTTGGTAAATGGTCTTTCAGATCTTTTGCACATTAAGAAAACCAGGTCATTTGCTTGTTTTCTATACAGTTGAGAGAGCTCTTTATATATTCTGGAAACGTGTCCTTTCTCATATGTATGATTTATAAATATTTTCTCCTAGTCTGTGGCTTGTCTTTTTATTCTCTTGACAGGATATTCCATTTTGATTAAGTTTAATTTATCAATTTCTCTTTTTGTAGATTGATTTTGTTGCCACATTTCATTACCTAACCTAAGGTTACAAAGATTTTTCTTTTATGCTTTATTCTAAAGTTGTATAGTTTCATGTGCTACATTGTGGTCTATGAGCCACTTTTTGTTAACTTTGGTATAAGATGTCTGAGATAGGGGTCAAGGTTTATTGTTTTTGCATGTGACTGTCCAGATGTCTCAGCACTATGTATTAGAAACACTATCCTTTCCATACTGAATAGCCTTTATACCTTTGTGAAAAATCAATTGGCTGTATTTTTGTGGATCTGTTTCTGGACTCTGTATTCTGTTCTATATATCTGTATTTTAAATCTTTCAGTAATACCACATTATCTTACCTACTGTAGCTTTAAAATAAGTCATGATATCAAATAGTGTGAATCTTTCAATTTTGTTCTTCCTCAGAATTGTTCTGGCTCTTCTAGTTCCTTTGTTTTTCCATACAAATTTTAGAATTAGCTTGACTGATATCTACAAAAATCCCTGCTGGGATTTTGATTGAGATTGTGATATATCAGTAAATCCATTTGGGGAGCATTGGCGTTTGAGCAATACTGACTCTCCCAACCCATGAACATGGTATGTGTCTCTATTTAAGTTTTCTTTAATTAAGTTCATCAGTGTTTTGTAGTTTTCAGCATACATATCCTGCATATTTATGTTAGTCATGTTTAAGTTTTATATTTTTGTTCTTACTGTAAATAAGACTTTTTTTAATTTCAATTTTTAGTTCATTCCTAGCGTATAGAAGTACAATTTATTTTTCTAGGTTGACTTTGTATCCTATGACCTTGCTAAACTCATTAGTAGTCCTTGGAGCTTTTTAAAATAGATTCCATGGGATTTTTTAAAACATAGATTTTATTAGGAGTCTCCAGAGAGACAAAACCAATAGGTTGTATGTGAGGGGCCTTATTAAAGGAATTGGCTTACAAGATCACAAAGACAGACAAGTTTCACAATAGGCTGTCTGCAAGCTGGAGAACCAGAGAAGCTGGTAGTGTGGCTCAGTCCAAGTCTGGAAGCCCCAGAACTACAGAAGCTGATGATGCAGCCCCTAGTTCAAGGTCAAAGGCGTGAGAGCGCCCAGGAGGCCACTGGTGCAAGTCCTGGAGTCTAAGAGCTGAAGAGCCTGGATTCTGATGCCCAAGGGCAAGAGGAGAAAAAGGCATCATTCCCTGGAGGGGAGAGAAAGAGAGAACAGAAGGCAAATTCTCCTCTCCTTGTGCCTGTTTTCCCAACTGGGCCTCCAGCCAATGGAATTGACCCACATTGAGGCTGGTTCTTCCTCTCTCAGTCCACTGAACCACATGCCAATCTTCTCTGGCAACACTCTTAGAAATAATTCTCCACCAACCGTCTAGGCATCTCTCAATCCAATCCAACTGACACTTGAAATGAACCATCACGTAGATTATAACTGTTGTCTGAGAATAGAGACAGTTTTATATTTACTCTTTCAATGTACGTACCTCATTTTTCTTTCTTATTGCACTTATAGGATGTCCAGGACAGTGTAGAATGGGAGTGGTCAAAGAGGCCATCTGCCTTGTTCCTGATTTTAGGGGGAGACCTTTAGTCTTTCAACATTCAATATATGAGCTTAGATTTGCTTTTTTTTTCTTTTTCTTTTTTGAGATGGAGTCTCACTCTGTCACCCAGGCTGGAGTGCAGTGGTGCAATCTCGGCTCACTGCAACCTCCACCTCCTGGGTTCAAGCAGTTCTCTGCCTCAGCCTCCCAAGTAGCTGGGATTACAGGCATCCGCCACCACACCCAGTTAATCTTTTATATTTTTAGTAGAGACAGGGTTTCACCACGTTGGCCAGGCTGGTTTCGAACTCCTGACCTTGTGATCCACCTGCCTCAGTCTCCCAAAGTGCTGG